CAGATATACGTATAGGTGATTTAGTTCAAGTAGTTTTTAAAAGGCGACAGGCCCCCCCCCCCCCACACACAAGCACCCCCCCCCCCCCCCCCCCCCCCCCCTTTTACCCCCAACCACACTCCGCATCCTTTAGTTTTCCCTAAGTTATTCTGATTTCCTTTTGGGACCGATGACCTAATTAGCTACGCTGTAGCTCTATAGATTGAATGCTCCCGTCATAATAGTAAGGTGCCAAGTTTCTTACTTGGCATTCAACCGAAAAAGATAGCGAGCTATACTATCCCCTGGATAGCGCTGCAAGCAATGATTGCATATGGAAAGACAGCGCTCTATTATGTAACGGCCACTGTCAGAAGAACGAAGCCACAATTAAGCTTAATGGTTAGGGTAGCTGGAAATAGTACAAGGATAGGGATAAAGCATATTGTTTGTTACACGCGTACAAGCTGAACATGCAGTTCGCCTTGCGCCATTGCGGGCTGTTCATCGTCTTCAAACACCTTCCCTTCAATTTATTATCCGTACGCTTGGAACTATTAGTACATAGGCGTATATTGCACCAAAAACATTAACACCGCCCCAAATTAGCGTAATCTGCGCAAAATACTAAAAAGGATCTGCTAATAAGATTGCCCGCTTATAGCGGACCCTTATATACCGCAACGCTAAACCGTTACCCCCGAACCCTAATTTATTAGGCAGATAGAACCCTTAATGCTATTTATAAATAACCTATAGCATAAAAAGGTTAGAATTAATAATATATTTATATTAATTAAAATAGCTATAAGGAAGAACGTTATTAAAAATAAGCCCTTATTATAGGGCCTAATTATAAATTACTTTATAAAAGTAAAATATAATATTAGGATAAAAAAAAGGTTTTTATAAGCTTTATTATAACGTTAAATAACTTTATTAAATTATTTAATAAAATAAATTAAAGCTTATAATAAAAGTTAACCTATAAATTTATAAATAAAATAGGTTAATACTTTAATATTATTATCTTTATTAAATTTAAAAGTATTATATTAATATATTTAAAACTATAATTAATTTATCCTATAAATAATAAAGCTATTATAAATAATAATATTACTTTAAAATAATAAATAATATATAAAGTATTAAATGTTATAAATATAGTTAATATATATATAAAGGTAACGTATCTCCCACTTGACCTGGCCACCCAATTAACCTGGCCACCCCCCTAGCCCATATAAATAATGTCATACTATGGTATCCTAAGGCCCCTAGAGTACATATACTTCGTATATATCATATACCCTTCCTGTATATGCTTCGAAGGAGATTCTTCCCTTCTTTAAGCTTTAGTTTTATTAAATACCTATTATAAGATTAAAAAGACTTATAACATTATACCTAACCTTTAAGATTTAACTTACCTATAATAATTCTAAAGCTTCCCCTTAAGGTTACCTATAATATTGTTAATTATAATATACCTATATATAAATAAATAATTAAAGCTAGCGCTCTTTTAAGAAATTTAAACTAAGGAAAGTTTTTAATAATGGTTTAAAGATAAAGCTAGTATAATTTATCCTTAAAAAAATAATAAACTTAAAATTAACTATTAAAATCTTTTAATAACCCTAATTTAATAAATAAATGCTTAACTTTTAATTAAAATTATAAAGTTAAAAAAATAACTTTTTAAAAAAAAGAAGGTTATTTAAAGTTTAAAGGTAACCTATACCCCTTCCAAATTATATTTAAATAAGAAAGGAAAGAATTTAAAAATATTAAGTTTAAATAAGTTAGGGTATTACTTTAACCTTAACAATTTATAAACCTTTAATAATTAATAATACTATTAAAACCAAAAAAAGAGCAATTTTAATAATAATAACCTTTTATTATTTAGCTTTAATATAAAGCATAATTAGAATAATTATATATATTAATTATATTTAAATTATATATACTATTATAAATGCTATTCCTTTAAGGAAGTTAATTTAAGCTAGCTTTTTAAGTTTAACTATAATCCCCTTAGTATAAAGTTTACCTATTTTAAATAGTTAAAATAAATAAAGGAATTAAAAACTATATTTTATAGGGTTAATTATAAATTTAAAACCAATACCCTTAAGATTTTTTATATATATAGTAAAATAAATAGGGATTATAAAAATATATATTAAATTATAAAGAAAAGGCTTAAATATATAAAAAGGAAGTAAATGGAGTTTAATTAGGATATATTTTTAAATTAAATTAAAACCCTACTATATTAATTATTCTTCCTATAGGTTAGCATTAATATATAACTTAAAAGGGCTATATAATATATTAATTAAAACTTAAAACTTTTTAATTAATATTTAACTAATATTAAAAGTTAAAACTTAAAATAAAGTAAAGGTAAAAGAGCTTTATTATATTATTGAAAATTAGGTGGACCCTTATAAAAGGAATTAATAAATTTTTATAACCTTTTATTAAAGATTAGGACTAAAATGGTTAATATAATATAATAACGTTAAAAATTAATAAATAAGAATTAATAGGCTAATTATAAAAGAAAAAGGCCTAAATTAAAGAATATTTAAATTAATAATAAACTACTTATAAATATAAACTAAAGCTAAAGTAATAGTTAAGCTATTAATAATAATTATAAAAATAAATATAAAGGATATAATAATAATAGCTATAATAATAGCTTTAATTATAGCTATATTAATAGTTATAAAGGTAATAGCAATAATAATAACTATTAAAGTAATAATAATAGTTATAACTATTAAAGAAATAATAATAATAACTATTATTAATGCCTTTAAGGTATTAATTATTAGGAAAACT